AAACGACGCGAAGATCGGGACAAAATCGGATCGGGATAACTCGAAATCTCTGAGAATCGGCGGGTTTGGAGGATGTATTGGGCGCCGCGGCCGCTCCAGAGCGTTCCGGAACGCTCTGAGAGCGCTCCGGAACGCTCTGGAGCGATTTATCCTGATCCTAGCCTTGTCTTACACTGGCGCAGAGGAAGACTGGGTCCGGGCTCCAGTCGTGATTTCTGTCACGATGTTACAGGGTTTTTAATACATAGGATTTTTTATCATATAGGATTTTGAATACATGATGAATTTAGGAGCAAATTCATGCACGAACTCATCGTTGTTTTTAATTCTAAATCCTTGTATCTTTATACATGATCCGCACGCGGAGCATGTATTAAAACCGGCACTGTAGTTCTGTTCGCGTCTTCCGGACCTCCCGAACTGTACACAGGGCTCTGTCTTCGCCGCCGCCGCCGCCAGTCGGCGTCGGAGTCTGCCGATCGGCCTCTTCGCCGCCGCCGTCGGCGCCGTCGGTCGTCGCAGCCGCCCCGCCGCGCGCGCCCGCGGAAGGCCCGCGCGCGCGCAGGGGGGCATCTGTGAGCCTCGGCAACAAAGTTCCCATGAGGGCGGATATGCCGCGCTGAGATCCTGGCGTCGCATTTTGTTCGCGGGGGGCGATTTCGCCTTGCTTCGGGCCCCGGGGGCCCTCGCGGATCTACCCAGCTCGCACAGACAAATGCAGCAGAAAGACGGGGTCCAGGGCTTTGGTCGTGGTTTGTCTTCGCGACCTTGAGCTTTTTCGCAATGGTGAGCCGCCATCACACAGGCCTGGGCACCGTGTGAAGGGGATAGAAGCAGGGAGGGGTGCATCGACCCCCCCATCGCCAATTTATCGCGGATGGGGGCCCGATGGCCCACCTCGCTTAGCCCCCAGGCCCCCGACGTCGCGATCTTTTCATTGCGGGGCCCCCAGAAGCCTCCACCCCTTCCCGGGGACAAGTTTCGCATCCTGAGCAGTTTTCTGACGGTCCTGGGGCCCGGCGAGGGCCCCGAGAGGTCGAAAACTATTACAAGTATTCGTCTCCATTTTCTCGAGACGCTGGATGGGGGCGGCTATCGGGGCCGGTAGTGGCCGCTATCGCGAACAATGAAAAAGACGCTCTCCAACACGATTTCGGGTGTTGCTAGAAGTGCCCCTGGCTCAAGGTGCCCCCAGGACTTCCAACGAGGACCCCACGTCCTCCAGAGCACCCCTCACGAGGCTCAGGGAGCCCCAGGGGCTCCAAAATTGAGTCAAAAGCTGGGTGCACCTTGGGCCAGGGGCACCTCCAGCAGCCCTCGACGATTCAGGACAAAACAGCCCGGTCCATGGAAGCAGTGGAGCGGTCCAGGGCCCCGGTGCTCGAAGGTACCACGCCGTCGGAGGTCTCAGGGCACGCCACCAGCAGGGGGCCATCCGATTAGGAAAACGCTTGCGACGACAACGGCGACGACGACGAACTCGACGGAAACGACCACGACGTCAACAAACAAGTAGACAAAAACGCGACGACGACTGACGCGACAGAAACTACCATAACGATGACGAAAGCAACGATCTCCAAACATAGATTTAGGCCGCGGCTTTCAACAGCCATCCTGCCTTTGGGTTTGTCAATGTTCTTAGTTTTTTGAGCGGTTTCGGGGCCCAGGATGCTTAGAGCGCGTTCCTTTATTTTCGGCGATGGTGGGCATTCTGGGGGGGGAGGGGCCAGGGGGGGGGGTATCATGTAACGCACCCCCCCCGCCGTGCGCGCACGGCGGCAGTGCCTGGAGCGCACTGGGGGAGGAGGGGCGTTACGTTATCGTAGAGGGGGGGAGGGCGGGGGGCTATAATGCTAATTCTCAGGAGCGAAAGAAGGACGTACATGTACATGAATCCACGCTGGTTTCGAGAGTTCGCATTGCGCGAATGTTCGTATCGCGCGGCAGGTCTCGCGGGTCAAGTGGCCGTGTTCATGTACATAGCTGGGCGCGTACGTCCTTTGTGGGCTCCCTAAATTATGCCCCAAGCAATACCGAAACACGCTCTTACCACCGCCTGCGCGCGCCTCGTCGTGATCGCTGCGCGCGGCCGCCCGCGGCCCCGCGCGGCGTGGCCCGCGGGCCGAGCTCTCGCGGGGCCTGCTTCCGAGCCCGCGCGGCTTCGGCGCCTGCGCGCTCCGATGCCGCACGGTCCCAGCAGCCAGGCCGTTCCGCGGCTGAGCGAGCTCCATTCCGACTATTATGATCATGATGTTCCAACCTACTTTAGCAGGGCTCGTTTCGATTCCTCCGATGCGATTCGATTCGACTTCGATGGGTTCCGATTCCGATTCGATTCGGCTTGGGCTTCCGATTTGGATTCCGATTTCTTATTGGAGGCATACTGGCCTGCCGATATACGCCGATTCGACTTTTCCCCATTCGGCTGCCGATTTTTCGCCGATCCGATTCATGTCGATTGCCGATCCGATTTATCGATTCGATTCTGGGCTCTCCTGCTTTAGCCTTGGTCACCAATAAGAATTCCGAGCACCAGACAAGTACCGAAATTCGAAGGTTTTCACGTGCCCGGCCCTGGGAGACACCGTTTCGACACCGTTTCGGCACGCTTTCCACACTTTCCCAGGTGCTCGAAGTTATTCCCTACCTAGGTTCTGCCTAGAAGGGTTCTTACTCTGTTAGCTAAAGGGGCCGGGCAATGCTAATCGCCCCGGGCGGTTCCCCCAGTCCCCGCCCCGCGGTTCCCCCAGTCCCCTGGGAGCTTTAGCCTTAGCTTTAGCTTTAGCTTAGCTTTAGCTTTAGCTTTAGCTTTAGCTTAGCTTTAGCTTAGTGTTAGCTTAGCTTTAGCTTAGCTTTAGCTTAGCTTTAGCTTAGATTCAGCTTAGTGTTAGCTTGGCTTTAGCTTAGCTTTAGCTAAGCTTTAGCTTAGCTTCAGCTTAGTGTTAGCCTAGCTTTAGCTTTCGCTTAGCTTCAGCTTAGCTTTAGCTTAGCTGTAGCTCAGCTTTAGCTTAGCTTTAGCTTAGCTTTAGCTTAGCTTTAGCTTAGCTTTAGCTTAGCTTTAGCTTAGCTTTAGCTTCAGCTCAGCTTAGCTTTAGCTTAGCTTAGCTTAGCTTTAGCTTAGCTTTAGCTTAGCTTTAGCTTTAGCTTAGCTTTAGCTTAGCTTTAGCTTAGCTTTAGCTTAGCTTTAGCTTAGCTTTAGCTTAGCTTAGCTTAGCTTTAGCTTAGCTTTTAGCTTAGCTTAGCTTAGCTTCAGCTAGCGTTAGCTTAGCTTTAGCTTAGCTTTAGCTTAGCTTTAGCTTAGCTTTATTTTATTTAGCTTAGCTTCAGCTTAGCTTTAGCTTAGCGTTAGCGTAGTGTTAGCTTAGCCTTAGCTTAGCTTTAGCTTAGCGTTAGCTTAGCTTTAGCTTAGCTTTAGCTTAGATTTAGCTTAGCTTCAGCTTAGCTTCAGCTTAGTGGTAGCTTAGCTTTAGCTTAGCTTTAGCTTAGCGCTAGCTTATCGAACAGCTTAGTGTTAGTTTAGCTTTAGCTTCGTGCTAGCTTAGCTTTAGCTTAGCTTTAGCTTAGCGTTAGCTTAGCTTTCGCTTAGCTTTAACTTAGCTTTAGCTTAGCTTTAGCTTAGCTTTAGCTTAGTGTTAGCTTTAGCGTTAGCTTAGCTTTAGCTTAGCTTTAGCTTTATCTGAGCTTCAGCGTAGCTTTAGCTTAGCTTCAGCTTAGCTTTAGCTTAGCCTTAGCTTAGCTTTAGCTTAGCTTTCGCTTAGCTTCAGCTTAGCTTTAGCTTAGTTTTAGCTTAGCTTTAGCTTAGCCTTAGCTTAGCTTTAGCTTAGCTTTAGCTTAGCTTTAGCTTTAGCTTAGCTTTAGCTTAGCTTCAGCCTAACTTCAGCTTAGCTTTAACTTAGTGTTAGCTTAGCCTTAGCTTAGCCTTAGCTCAGCTTTAGCTTAGCTTCAGCTTAGCTTTAGCTTAGCTTTAGCTTTGCTTTAGCTTTGCTTTAGCTTAGCTTTAGCTTAGCTTTAGCTTAGCTTTAGCTTAGCTTTAGCTTAGCTTTACTGTTACTACTAATGCTGCTTTCCTAGGGGCTCCAACTCCTAGGTAGGGTCGCACTGGGATAATTTCTGGGATGTGGTCCTCAGGTACGATGGGAGCAACATGATCCTACCATGCCATCGGAACCGAACCCATTCAGCTGCGCATCCGGCGGCCACACGGGGCCCAGACGCCTCCAGGAGACGCGGACCTTGAGGCAAAGGTGTCCGCGTTTCTGTCGGTCTGGCCGCGTCGCACACTCGGCCGGCTGGGTCAACTTTGCGGTCGGTCGGTTCTGGCCATTTCCGCGTATGCTGTCGGTTCGGTCGGTTTTTGGTTGTGCTACCGCCGTGAATGGCCCTGGGGATGGTGGGCCCAGGGTGGCCCTGGTCAGGCACGGTGGTGGGCGCGTATCCGCGGATGCCTTGTGTGCACCGTACCGCGCTGGCGTCCCCCCAGGCGTTGTCGATCGTCGACCCTGGAATTGTCACGGTGCGTAGTTTTCGGGCGATGTGTATTGGGGGGGCGATACATGGGTGGATGAAAAGAAGGTGCACACTTTTATGCACAAGGACTGATAGGCCTCTTTTCCACCACCACCGCCATAAGTCGGAGGGGGGAAGGAGGTGGAGGATGAGGAGGGGGAGGAAGAAGAGGGGGAGGATGACACCCTCCCCCCTCCAACTTATGGTGGTGGTGGTGGCGGAAAATAAGCCCATCAAGGACCCTCTGGGATGCAGAACGGGCACGAAATGTGCACGCTTCTTCGCCCCCCCTCTTATCGCCTCCTCATCCAGCAAAGCCCACAGTTTTCTAGCCCCCAGGGCCGACATCCTGTGCACCATACCGTGCCCGAGCGGGGCCAGACGGGAGCCCAGTCTGTTGTGTGTGCGTGTGTGTGTGTGTGTGTGTGTGTGTGTGCTGTGCGTGCGTGTGTGCGTGCGTGCGTGCGTGCGTGCGTGCGTGCGTGCGTGCGTGCGCATGGATGGCGTCTGCGCAGAGGCCGCCCGCCGCCGCGCCGGTGGCGCCGCGAGGCCTCCTGGGGAGAAGGGCGCACCGATGCCGACCCTTCCCCAGCCTCGGCCCAGCCTCGGCCTCGGGGGGCAGCGGCCGGGCTCCATGGTGCAGTTTTCTTAGGCGATCGCAAGCATGGATTAAGGTTGTGGAGGACAGTCAGTGGAGAGGAAACACGTTGCCAACTAATCTCCAGGTGTCTAGAACATGTGCTAAAACTGTTTTAAACATGTAAAATACATGTGTTTAACATCTCCAGGACATTTTTCCGACATTTTAAACACAGTGTTAATTCGACGACAGGACTGTTAGGGTGTCCATTGTCGTGGCATCCACAAGATTAAGGGGGCGTGGATTAGCGACGGGTCCCGTTTCCATGGGGAATCGCGGATTTCCGCCGCCGAGCGAGGCGGCACCGGCCGCATCTTGGGTAGGGCACCTTCCCTGATCCATGGATTTGGCGATCGCGCGCCAAATCCATGGATTGCTGATCCATGTTTGCGCGCCCCCGAGACAAATCTGCATAAACATAAACTTTCGGCGCAACGCGCGAATTTCTCGGACCTGCTGGGGAGCCCGCGCAGATCCAAGACATCTGCGCGAACCGTTGAAGTTGTACATTTATGCTGAGTTTCTGCTTGCATTGGAGGGGGAGGGGGGGGGTGAGTGGCGAGGCCCGAGAAGGAATTCGGACTTCACTCAAGTTGGAACTCACTTGCACGCCTTTTCGGGCCAGCGCTGCTGGAAGAGGCGGCGGAGAGGGGGGGCGGGCACCGTAGGGTGTGGGGGGTTGATGCTCGACTCTGATTAGAAACGCGCCGCTCAAGATCGGTGACGAAAAAGCGGGTCCCTGGAAGGTGTCGATAGGTTTGGGGACCCCTTGCTGAGCAGAAACCAACGCATCGGAGGACTGGTGATATAGCTCTTCCCTTTCGTGTTCGCCTCCCTGGCCCCCCTTCGAGGCCTCTCGCCGCCACCTTGGGTTCGCTTCGAGGCCCTGGTCAGGACGCATCTTCAGAGAAGAGGTCCAGGGCGCAGTGGAATCGGTGCGGTCGGACCGAGGTACAAGATCCAGGTCGGTTCGGGGAAGGTACCCGAATGTTCTTCGTGCCTGTTGGATGTTGTTGTGCATCCTGCGGGAGGGTGCCCTTGAATATTGTGGAGTCTGGCCTGTGGAGGGTCTCATGTTCTTGAAGGAAGTTCTTCTGTCCTGGGTCCGACCGTATCTCATGTTATCCGCTTGCTCCTCCAAGGCCGACGAACGCCAAGCAGACCGGCGCGCGTCGCAAGGAGCTGGCTGCAGGTGGGCATGGGGAAGAGGGGTATCCTGGGGGGCAGGGGTCGCCGTCCGCGGCCTCGTGGGGCCGCCCTCCGACGATGAAGAGCAGCTGCATGAACATCAATCGGCGTCACCCCAACATACTAGCACTAATGGAGGATGACGATTAATGAATGACCGGGGGTCGTGTTCACGCGGCGGCGCCCGGGATGACGATTGGAAACAACCGGCCGCGGGCTGGAAAACTATGTTTTAAAATCGTCCTCCTCCAGTCAGAAATTTGTGCAGAAATAGCAGAAAACTATTTTTTAATCGTTCTCTCCCATTTGTTTTGTTAATCGTCATCCCGCATTATGTGTGCGTCGCCCCCCCAGTGGCGACGCGCGCACCGAGAAGTCTCGCAGCATGCGCTCCGTGGCCGGCGCTTTCGTGGCCATACCGCCCCAGAGACGGCATACTACCAGACGGTTGTGCTGCATGTTCGGGTCGGGCGCACGCCTCCAAGGAGGACACAAAGTACTAGTATTCGGGGGCGGACAGAACCCCCAACAGTGACACGTCGATTAGTGAATTGTCCGTTTTCGGTTCTCGAGAGGGCGCCGTGGCCGTTATCTTCCAGGCTTGCGCCCGCCGGGTTTGGGCCCTGGGTCGTTTTCACTAAACCGCGTTTTACTAAAGGGGGGTCTGTCCATCCCCGATACTAGTATGTCCCTGTGCGCCCCACTTCGCTTTCGGGGTTCCGCGCGGATTCCGTGTGGCAGCGCCGGAGCCCCCTCGGCGCCTCCCCTGGCGCCGGCCCTCTCGCGCTCCCTGCGCGCCAGCCCGCTCCTCGCGCCGACCCTTACGAAGTCCGCGCGGGCCCCTGGGATTCTGCGGCTCCGCCCTCTCTCGGCCACGCGCGGAGGGGGGCACGGTAGGTTCGCGTCGTGTCGACCGGCGGCGACCCCGCCGCCGACGTTCAACTTTGAACGCCGACGGCGGCCCAGAATCGGTCGATGTTGAACGATCGGACGTTGCGGAGACGGCCGATCGTTCAAGGTTGAACGATCCAGCGCGTTGTCGGGAACCAACGCTGGGGTCGGCACGACACGAACCTGCCGTACAGGGGGAGAGGGGAAGGCCTCTTCGAAGCACCCCTGCTTCTTACTCAGAAGCTTCGAAGGCCCCGAAGCGGCCCAGAAGCCGAGCCGGTGGAGCCCCAAGGAAGGTACATACCATAGCTTGAGTCGTGGCCGGCCCAAGGTAGGGGGAGAGAGGGGGAGGCTTCTTGGAGGCACCCCTGCTTCTTAGAAGGCGCGGGCCGCCCCTGTAGATGTCAGGCCTGCGCCTGCTGAGAAGCAGCCCCCTTCGAGGGAGCCTTCCCCCCTCAGCTCTGCCCCCTTGTGCGCGCCGCCACTGCCCTGACGCCCGCCGACCCGGCTTTTCAATCCACGGCCCCGGAGTTCCCGGCTTCTTTCCCTGAGGGCAGCCTCTTGCCCTGGACCCCTTCTGCCTGACGGCCCCGTGCAGGGACCGACAGCGGGCCACGGGGGCCGAGACCACGGAGAAACGCAGGGGTGGAACAACATGAAGTCGTCGGAGGTCCGGGCATCTCTCCTTCCGCTCCCGCGGCCCCTCCTGGGTCGCCAGCACGAGCGACCCAGGACGAGGAGCCGATGCAGACGGTGGGGCGTTTGTTCACTAAGGGATGTGCCCAGGAGGCTCCCGACCCTGGAGCGTTCGCCGCCCGATGAGGGCGGCGGTGACATCCATGGCCACTCCGCGATTGGAGTTCCACAGGCTTCCAGACCCTGGATTCCTTCTGCAATGCCCGCGCCATGCAGGAGCCCGGGCCCCGCTTCGCCTGCGAGCCGGTGCCTCTCGTGCCAGACGCCGGCAGCGCGCCCCTTTGGGGAGGGCAGGCCTTTGGCGAGGCTTCGGGCTGCGCGCAGACCGCCCCCCGCAGGTTGTGTCCGCTGGCATCGGCAGGCCCCCCGAGAGTAGCCCGGGGCGGCCTCAAGCGCTTCCGGCGGTGCCCCTCCCCGGCTGGCCTCAACGGGCCCTCCTCCTGCGCCTCAGCCAGCCTCCTCCTCCTCCACCTCCTCCTCCGCCTCCTTCTCCTCCTCCTCCTCCTCCCCTCCTCCTCCTCCTCCTCCTCCTCCTCCCCTCCTCCTCCTCCTCCTCCCCCTCCTCCTCCTCCTCCTCCTCCTCCTCCCCCTGCTCAACACTCCGCACCCCAGGATGCTACTCCAGGCACTGTTAAGGCCAGCCGGGGCTACCTGCGGGGGGCTGTCTGTGCGCAGCCTCAAGCCTTACCAGGACCTTCTCAGAGAGCTCCGACGACCCCCATTCTGAGTAGTTCGCTCGTTCCTTCCCTGAAGCCCCGCCGCCTCCTGAGAAGGCTTGCCCCCTCTCACCTCCCCGCCCGGTCGACTGCGCGGACGTTCGCGCGTAAGCTTCCTGCGCAA